AGAGCATTATTAACCTACTCAAACTTGGGTGAGCCATATTTTCATCAGCTAGTTTGTCAGTTCTAAGATTAGTTTTAGACAATGCCATGATTAAATATTGATCGAATCCTTAAGGTAGGGAAGACAAAATTAGTTCATAAAAATATGGTTCCTTTATTCCGCCCAAGTTTGGTAAAAATAAAATTCTTCCTTGTGCTATGAATTCAAAAGTTGGTAAAACAATGTTTCAAACTGAGCGAAACACAACAAGGCGTGAATCCAGATTAGTCGGGCTCCAATACAGGTACCGGACATCAGACATTGGATTCAAAAAGAGTGGACACAAAAATCCTCCTTAGTAATTATATCTATGTCCAACATGATCAACATACATGTTGTTTTGATCAATCACATGCCGCAATAGGCTTTGAGGAACAACAACTTCTCCTTTTCCCTAAATATATTAAAAATTGCACAAAATGAGAGCTATCTTTTAAGGAATGGGATGAATAACAACTTTCCCAGTGGCTCTTCCAGTTTCAAGATAAGAGAAAGCATCCACAACCTTATCAAATGGGAATGGTCCCTTTGGATCTATCACTGGTTTCACCTTCCCACTCTCCAAGTACGGGTTCAGTTTCTTCAACATTTCTCCATTTGATGTCACCACAAATCTAAAACCTGGTGGTGTTACTGCCCCTGTTAGCACTACCACACTCCCACCTTCCTTCACTGCCTTCACCGCCTTTTCACCCTGACCTGTAGTCAGTACCAAGAAGTTGTTAGTAGAGGTGGATCCAAAATCTAATTAAAACCGATGGATTCAACCATTAAGATTCTTAGCGCTGGAAACTTTGTAGAAGAATTAACCTAATTAGCAGCCCACTCAACAGCTTAAACTAAAGATAGCCGTCAGATGCATAATATGTATATAACCATTTATAATCAGTATAAAATTTATGTAGATCGGCTAGAGAAAGTAAATAATGAATCGGGCGGGCTATTTATGTAAAGATCCCAACATTGTACTTATGAAATGATGAGTTCAGAATTTAATAAGGAAATTTTGCAATTGTAGTTTTTGATCATCAATTGATTCAACATATGCATCAAAACATTGCCCATTTGACCATCAATTGATTCAAAATATGCAGTTTTGATCTTTATGCTTGTGAATATTCACTATTATTAACTGTTAAACCATTTAGTTAGCTATGTGTTATGTTAAATTTGTACGTGCATTTTGTCCCGACAATGTGTATACTAAAATGGCCATTGTTTAAGTTGAAACTAAGTTCTTACCAACAGAATCATAAACAACATCAAACTTGTCAGGCAGATCTTCAAAATTCTCCTTAGTGTAGTCAATAGCTAAATCAGCTCCTAAGCTTTTCAGGAGTTCCAACTTCCCTGTGCTAGAGGTAGCTGCTACTTTTGAAGCACCAAATACTTGTTTAGCAAGCTGTAACAGAAAAAAAGCGACACTTCAGCTTAGCAGCAGGGGCACATGAAAATAAAAAAAGGATTGAACATGCAGAAAAGATAGCAAAAGCTAGCCAGGCCCCAGCCTACTAGATCGTTTACACAAAAATAGGCTAAGAGGCCATTTTATTTATCTTTAAAAATGCCCAATGGAATATTGAATCCATCGGATGTAATGTGCGAGATGAAGAAGACGGGTGACTGCTAATTCAGGGGAGTAAATGATGAAGACTGAAAAAACAATTTAATTTGGCATTGTCCTCAAAGAATCCTACCGAAAGCCAAGTCAGTTTGCTATCTACGTAGACGCTAGCACCAGAATATTTTAATCTGTTGTAGTGGACAGCCTGTCTTATTTTCTAAGTTACTAATCTCACTCTTTATGGAAGGCTACTCATAGTTATCATTAGATGGACCTGAACACTTTTCTAGAAATCATGTTTTTCTAAAACTGAAATATACATTTAAACTAGACTTATTGAAATGTTCATACCTGGATTACAAGGGATCCAACACCACCAGCACCTCCCAAAACAAGAATGGATTGGCCAGCAGAAAATCCAGCTTTCTCAAGACCTTCATAAGCAGTTTCAATAACTAGAGGAAGAGCAGCAGCCTCCGCAAAACTCAGATTCTTGGGTTTCAAAGCAACTAGTTTCTCTTCAACAGCAGTGTACTCAGCTAAAGATCCAAATTGATTTGGTCCATCTATTGCTTTCTCATTTATATCTCCATACACTTCATCTCCTTCTTTTAACTCCTTTACTTGACTACCAACTTTCACTACCACACCAGCAACATCATAACCTGGCACAGTCTACACAAACAAGAAAGTATCTGTTTTAGATTACATATTCCACAACAGGAAAAATTGTGTGATTTTGTCCTATTTTCCATTTGACTTGTATGATCATCTCTTCTTAAAAGACACTTTTGTTTACTTAATTATAACTTCAACAAGACCTCTCACTTCTGAGTCTGTTTCTTTTCCATGGGCCAAATACACATGAAAATTGCTCTGACAAAAACACACATGGAAATTGCACAGACAACATGTTAAATTGTGTGCTCATCTCATCTAAAAACACAAAATTTTAGAAAAATCATACTTCTATTCAATCATTTCAATCTTCAACAGTTGCAACGATGCCGAGATATATGATTAAGTAAATAAATGTGTGCTTTTTTCTAACAACTTAAGCTTTTAGATGAGATGTAACACACTTCAGCATGGCATCAGAATAGGCAGAAGTCGCAAGTTCAAATCTCATTGCCACCCATTATCAGAGAAAAAATCATGTGCTTGACTCATGAAAAAGAATCAAACCCTCATGTGAGGGAACTTTTAGATGAAATATCACATAGTTAAACACGGATAGTGCAGATAATCTCTAATTTAATATTGACCTCCCATGATTTCGAAGGTAATTTTTAAGAAGTAGTGAACACTACAGTCATGAAGTGAAACGTCACAAAAAACAGTTTGAACATTTTCTGTGCTGAAATCTTAGGAGAAAAGTTGCTCTATCACTGTAAACATATGACAGTTGGGCCTAACTCCATGTTCAACCAATGTGGATGGCCTAAATCCATATAAATAGACCACCTATCCATTCCTCAACCAATGTGGGTTCTAACCCACTCTAACAAACATTATAACACAAGCATGAGAAAAGCAATTGTACCATTAAAACATGGAATTCAAACTAAACTCAAAGATAAAAACTAAACTCAAAGATAACAAGATAAGGGTGCCTAAACTTACTGGAAGTGGAGAATCAGTGGCCTTAAATTTTCCGAGCCTTCGTTTAAAATCAATAGGGTTAAGAGCAGCAGCAACAACCTTAATCAAGACTTGATCTTCCTTAATGTCAGGAACTGCAACATTGGACTCCAACTTCAAAACATCAACACTTCCATAATCAGTATAACTCCAAGCTTTCATTTCAGAAGGAATAGAAATGCTTGTGGATGTTTGAGCAGCTGCAGCTTGAGAACTAGCAGAGACTCTAAGTGGCAAAACAGTGGAAAATTGGCTTCTTTGAATAAAAGTTTCAGCTTTTTTGCTACCCTTTACTCTAAGAACAGAAATAGAAGAAAATGGAGAGTGAAGAGATGAGAAAGAAGAGGGTGGATAAAGGGGTTTAAGTTGAAGAGTAGTGGAAGATAACAGAGCCTCCATTGTTCTTCTTTCTAACTGTTTTTACTTCTCAATCAGTATTTTCCTCAAACACTTTATGTGCAAGATAGAGAGGATGAAATGCTTGATTTTGGCTTCTATTTTTTTTTTGGGTAGAATTCATTTTCAGCCATCCATTTGTTAGTAAAATAGTGATTTGTAATATCCTGTCCTCATAATTTTCCCTGTTTTTGATGAGGCCTTAAGGAAATTAATAGCCACAAACTAACAAGAGCATTCAAGGCACAATATACCAACATGATGAGTTGTGGTGAAGTTCGAGTTCGAGTCCTGAGTATGGAGAAAATCCTACTAGAAGCGTCACTCCCGAAATAGCCGCTGCAGTGTGAATTGGGAATACAAATTAAGAACAACATAATGGGCCTGATGGCAACTTTTTATTTATTCATTGAAGTATTTGTGAAGTTCTAATGTGTTAGAGATTAGTGACTATGGGTAGATAGGATTTCATATATAGGATTTGCAATTTTTTTGCAACTTTTGTCTGTTATATTTACCCGACACTTTCTATTGAAAAAGTTAGATCTATGTTGCTTGTATTTTTTAAAAATGTCAAAGGAGTGTGTACAGATCCTCCAACAATTATGCTTTTTTGGAGGATCCGACACATAGGGCCCTCTGCTTTCTTTCTCTGTTTGACTTTAGTCCATCTAGCACCTTCCAGTCATCTCGTGGAGAAAAAAAAAATGTAATTATCATGTTGGCTCTCATTGTTCTACTACTTGACTTCGAGCCTTAAAAACACGTCTTTTGCAAAAACATAAGGTAAGACTGTGTACAATAGACCCTTCTGGTCTGGCCCTTCCCGGACCCTGCACATAATAGTGGGAGTTTTAGTGCACCAGACTGCCCCTCTTTTGGCTTTTAGATAAGCTTGGTAGCTTCGTAGCCTGTCAAGGAGGTGGCTTTGCCTATCTATAAGGACAGTTAAATTGACGACCGAGTTTACCCTCCATGTTCTCACTGTGAGATGAAAATAAGAAAGGTCAACTGAAGAACAACAACATACCCATTGGAATTCCACAGGATGGTTCTGAAGAGGGCAGATTGTACGCAAACCTTACCCCTACCTTGTGGAGGTAGAGAGACTGTTTCCAAAAAACCCTCGGCTCATGTACATGGCCAAAAATTTGTGATCAACCCAAAGAACCACTACTACCATACATAGTTTCATAATTAAGATGAACTGACAACTATTTACTAGAAGGTCAGATATAAAAATGATACAAATTACACACAAATCACTATTTTAATCACAAGATGAACTAGAGGTCATGTATGAGGTTAAAGTGGATCTATGTTACTAAAAGGAGCTTGGCTTTACATCAAACATTTTTTTTCAGTTCATCTCTTCTTGTTTTGGAGCACATTTTGGATGGAGCCCGTAATCGCAACGTTTGCAGAAGAAAGCCCACCCGTACCCCATCTCCTTGCACCCACTGCAGAGATACACTTGCTGATGTATCAGTGCAAGTTCATGCTCATTGTGAATTTCATTTCTGTCTTTCTTGGGCCAACCCGTTGTATTTTTGTCGAGTTGTTGCTGCAAATTCTTTATATGTTCTTCTGTGAAGGGATAGGCTCCTGCACCGTGTGTCTCTAACAGCTGCCTTACTTGTGTATTCACAGTGCAGCCATTAGGACTAATTGCTATGGCCACTGGAATGCCTACAATGTTGAATCTGCGCGACAAAAATGACCTCCTTTCATCGTCATAAGGAAGTGCCAACCAGGGCATACTTGAGAAGATGTTATTAAAGGAAGGTTCATCTTGATCACTAGAGATGAAAATCACTTCAAATGTTCCGTCTTTCTTCTTTATTTCATGGTATGCAGTTACGAGTTTGGGTTGAAATTCTCGACTTGGGAGACTCCAACTTGCTGCAAAATACAGTACAATGTTGTTCCCTACCAGTTTGTGTACAGGAACCTGAACAAGTACAATGAAAAATAACATGATTAGCACACACTAACTTCATCAATCCCTTTGAAATGAGCTCACAGTTTCATTCACTTATTTCAACCGACTAAACTTACCTTTAAACCGCCATTTGAAATGACAAAATCTCGATCTGCAGTAACAAGAATGGACTCTAATGTTTGTGCTTCTAGTTTCTTCTTCTTTAGATTAGCCAAAGTTACAAGCTTTTCTTGTGTGAAAGGAAATGCTTCATCTCCATATTCTTCGACAAATTTAACTGCATTTTGCTGCAGAGTCTTCCCATCTGGACTTAATACGACAAGCTGTGGTAGGAATTTATGCTCAAAGTACTGAATAAGTCTCTCACAGTTCTTGTCTTTGAAAGGTAAAGCCAACCATGGCATTGCTTCAAAGCTTTCTTTAAAATCCTCATATTTTTCATCCAGAGAAATCAGCACAATTTCAAAGTTATTTCCTTTAAGCTTTTCGTATACCTCTGCTAGCTTCAAGGTGAAATTTATGCACCCTCTATGAGTACCCGTTCCGAAATATAGGCAAACTGTTTTCCCTTCAAGCTCAGACACGAAAATCTGTAAACAAGCATGTCGAAAATAAGCACAAAAACTACAATGCATAGAAATGATCAACTCAAGGACATTACCTTTTTCTCTTCATTCAAGATCAAGAAATCGCGTGATCCATAGACCAGAAGAGACCTCAAAGACTGATTCTCCTTAGCCCTCTCTTCTTCCAGCCTCAAGTAATTAATTCTTTCAGATGTAAATGGATAGGCTTCAGGACCAAAGTGCTTGATAAATTTAACGCCATCGTTGCTCAAAACTTTGCCTGTCCCATCAAGAATCACAAGATGTGGAATTGCCCTTACTTTGAACAACTGCTTTAAGTTCTTTCTAGCCTCAGCATCAGAAAAAGGAACAGCAAGCCACGGCATTTTCACAAAGTATTCATTAAACGATTCGTCATCTTTATCAGATGAAATGAACACTATTTCAAAGTCATCTTTAGGATATAAACTCTCGTAAGCTTCCACCAACTTTGGTGTAAACTGGCGACGTGGACCACACCATGAACCGGAGAAATACAAGCCCACAATCTTTCCTGTTATGCTGCTCAATGTAACCTACAAACAAGCATAAGATCAGTGTTCCAGTTTGTTTTTGCTCAATCTTTCTCGTTCTTAGATAAGATTATAGAGGAAGTATATACAGTCAAACCTCCTTATAACAACTTCGAAAAGGTTAATTTAGAAACATTTGTTGAAGGGATAGTGCCAGTATACACACCTGTTCACCGTTTGTACATATTAGAAAGTCTCTCTCCTTTGAAGACAGTACAACTGTGAGATCATTCGAGGAGCTTTCTAGATCAATTGCCATAGCCATCAGTTACTGATTCTTATCTCTCTCAAAACTGTACAACACTCAACATGTTTCATTTGACATGTTCTGTCTTGATTCTCTCTTAAAGGAAACTTATTAGGGACAACGAGCACTTGCCGGTCAATTTCATCTGAAGTTTCAACCTGGCCGGCCCTGTCACAAATACATATTAAATTGGATTAGAAGTATTAGCTGCCTAGACTAAAGTTTGAAGGGCATTTTGTTACAATTTGCAACAATATTATATAATCAAATAGACTATACAATAGTGACAAATGAAATGGAATATTATTATTATTAATAGAATGGACAGTGGCATCTTGATTCCTCCACTGACCAAGATTCCTCATATATGCTACTTTGTCTTTGGCCTGCCGGCTTCTCCAAACAATTTAATTAAAATTCTCTTTATTTCTGTATCTTTTTTGAGTGTGTTACTGATAAAAACGATTTTTTTCATTAATTAATCATATAGTAATATTTCATGTACATATGTAGCTTATCATCTGAAGGAGAAAAGTAAAAGAACTAATTGATGCAAATTCTTATAAGCTTTTCCAGTCCAGGTAAGTGAACATCATTTTCATGTCAATCATCTTTACCTGACATGTCAGAGCCAGGTCCATTCTCGTTTGGGCTCCAGGTTCATGCTCTAGTCGAACCTGGGCGTGAAGGACCCCATGAGCTAGTGTTTTTTTCCAGAAACAATTATCAATAGTGTTTTTTTCCTGAAACATCCACGAAAAGTACTTCAAGAAAAATCCAAACACAAGAACAACATCTTACAGTGAAACAAGCAAAGGTTTCCAGAATCAAGCATCCATAACATTTGGAATATCATAAGGATAAAACCATTGCATTCTTTACCAGAAATTCTAAAAATTTTAAAAGTTTATCATAGTGAAACCAACACTCTCCGATGGAGCAGATAATCATAACACTGAGAAACGAAAATATTGAAATCTGATTCAGAAAATCAATGTCACATTCTTTGCACAAATAACTTGACTCATAGAGACAATTTACCTGGAGATAGACAGTATAATCTGGATCAAACACAGGTCCAATGTTTAATTAAACTTGTATTGCATAAATAAAATTGACAACAGAAGATTTTAGGATAGAAGTGTCTCACAAAGAACAATTTCAAAACACACAAATATGCTTCTTAACTAAAGATTTGATAGCAAATTCCTCATAGCCACCAAGAAATAACAACAAATTAACCTTTGAAACAAACTTCACCATCACAAATCCATCCTTCCTTTGCTTTCTGTTCCTCTTTGCCTTGATCCTTTTGATCTTCCTCGGTATCCATATCCATGTTGCTTTCCTTTTTCTCTTCTAGAGCACATTTTGGGTGCATATCAAAGTCACACTCTTCGCAATAGAATGACCATATCTGTCCCGCCTCATCGCATACATCACAATTGTAACCAGAACGCTTAGAAAGCAGAAGTTCATGCTCGTGAAGTTTGTGCATAATTTTCTCAGGCCACCCCTTTGCCATTTCTGCAGTTTCTGCTTCAATCTCCTTCATACGCTCCTCGGTGAATGGAAAAGCCTTAGCACCATGACACATGATCAAACTTCTGGCTTCAGTTGTAACAGTCTTGCCTGATGGCCCTACAGCAACCAATGCTGGTATGCCACGAACTTTGAATAGGCGGCTCAAATATGTCTTCCTCTCATCACCAAAGGGAAGAGCCAGCCATGGCATTGTAGCAAAATAGTCATCAAATGAGGCTTGATCTCGGTCGCTAGATATGAAAATCACTTCCAATGGACCATTTTTGGCTTTTATCGTCTCATATGCCTCTTTAAGCTGTGGTGTAAAAGCACGGCATGGGGGACACCAATGTGCTGAGAAGTAAAGCAGAATATTCTTCCCTACGAGGTCAGACACCAGGATCTACAGAGAGAAATTTTGGTTACTAGTTGAAGTTAAGGATAAGAGTAAAATATCAACAGAAAGGACAGTCATGTTAATCGTGGTATAGTAATCAAAGCATGATTGATGACGAAAGATTGAACAAAAACAAAATATAACCAAACATGTGATGTTTGTGTCCTACCTTTTCACCATCTGTTCCAATGACGAAATCATGATCTCCAGTAACCAAAATCGACTCCAATGTTTGTTCTTCCAGTTTAGCTTTCTGTATCTGCTCAAGTACAGCAAACTTCTCAGGGGTAAAAGGATATGCCAGGATACCATGCTCCTCGACGGCTTCAGCAACATTAGAATGAAGAGTCTTCCCATCTGTTCCAATGATGACTAAGGTAGGAAGGGTAGAGAGCTCAAAGTACCTGGCCAGCTTCTCGCAGGTCTTGTCTTTTAAGGGAAGTGAAAACCAAGGCATTCTAGAAAACTCTTTCTTAAAAGATTCATCTTCATCTTCATCGTCAAGAGGAATCATGACAATCTCAAAGTTTCCCTCCTGAGCCTTCAACTTGTCATACATCTCAATCAGCTTCCGAGTAAAGGATTCACGTCCTTTAAAAGAAGTCATTGAGAAATATAGGCCTATAATCTTGCCTTCAAGATCAGCAATAGGTACCTAATAATTATCAAGACATAACGAAAAAGTAATGAGAGAAACTTTAATGAATAAACAAGAGAAAAAAAAATTCAGGATCGAAAAAAAAGCATCTTGAATCAACCTTCCTCTCATCAGCTGCAATTACATAGTTTCTGGACTGTGACTCCAAGATAGATTTCAAAGATTGTTCTCTTTTAGCGGTTTCTTCTTGCTCTTTAAGTTCGCTTAGCCATTCTTGAGTGAAAGGGTAGCCCTCCACCCCATGCTCAACAATGATTTCAACCCCGCTATTTGTCACTACCTTCCCACTAGCATCAAGAATCACTAAGTGGGGTATTCCCCTAACAGCAAACAATTCATTCAGACGTTTACGTGTTTCAGAATCAGAGAATGGGACAGCGAGCCAAGGCATTTTAGAAAAGTACTCCTTAAAAGATTCATCATCCTTATCAGCAGTAAGGAAAACAATTTCAAAGTCTCCTTTTGGTAGGAGCCCATTGTACGCCTCTACCAAATTCGGGGTGAAATGTTTGCACGGACCACACCATGATGCTGAAAAGTACAAACCGATTTTTTTCTCCTTTAAAGTATCAAGCTTAACCTGAGAATTAAACGTTTGTGAAAAACTTGCCATAAATGAAATTATCTGTTAATCAGAGCTAGCTATAATTTCCAAAAATTCATTTTATTCCTTTCCTAACATGTCTGTCTATACCAGTAAAACTAAAAAGTCAGGCACACGGTAAACAATGCATATACACCTCACTTTCTTATGCTCGGTATAATACCTTGTAACTACAAACATATTATCATATTTGAAATGATACAAAAAGCTATTTCCGTGAAAGCAGACCGCTTGGTCCTAACAACTTTTTACCACAGTTCCCTTGAAAAAATTAAGTAATTATTTGGTTAAAAGAACAATTTTTTCAATCAAAACAGAATCAAACATCCACAAAGGAATAAAAAGACAACAAAATGATGTTTTTGGTTTCGAATCAAGCCAAATCCGAACCACTTAAAAATTAAGAAACCAAGATCAACCAAACTTACTTCCACAATTTCTGGCTAAATCTTGAATATTCCATCTATGTTATATTTTATTTTAATTACATATTTAATGCATCCCTATTATCATGTTCGTACGTTCTCCTTATAAGTCATTTCATCTTGTTTCTTTTAAAAGTAAAATTACTCTTTTTAATGTTACAAACTTGTGGATATTGTTCTAAACATTTCCAAAGCATAGGTGGAGTAAATAATGCAGATAGATTTGCAAAGTAACGGGTTATAAATCATAATCATGTCTTTCTGAATAACAAACCAGTACAAACACAATTGAGTTTGAAGAACTTCGTATTAAAAAGTAATCATCCTTCCCATCTGTCCTAGCCTTGGTGGATAGAGTTATCTGGTACCTGTTGTTGCTGGTGGGAGATGTCAAATATTCCGTTGAATTAGTCAAAATGCGTGAAAACTAGCCCGGAAAACATGGTCACAAAAAAAAAGAAGTAATCATCCAATTTTTTACAACTTTTCGAGGACATTCTCAAAAAACTGTCCAAGGCCTAGATCAATCTTATAAGAACATTTCTTAGATAAGTTAAGAAGTCCACAAGTCTTACTTAGACAAAAGGGAACAATGAATCTTGAATTTCAAAGCTAGGTGGAATAGATGCGATCACATCTAACCTTAACCAGAGGTCTCGGAGAATGGAAGAAACTAAGATAGTGACTAGTGAGTGCTTGCCCATTAAATGAGACCTACACCGCACAAAGCCGAATTAGTTATTAATCCATTGAAACTTTAATACAACATCTTTTGATCCCCTGAGGGAGAAACCCCATATTGTACCAACATCTCTCTTTTGCTTCCTTCTTAGGTCCTCTCCTGTCGTAAGTCATATCGTTTGTACTTCTTTTGAGAAAATTGATTTTCAGTATCTACCTAACACACGATCGAGCCAAACTTTTCCCTAAAGGATCAAATTATGAAGAAATAATTAAATATAAGGAAGAAGTTAAAAAAATAATTTAACATCTACCATATATATAATTAAAAAAAAATTCCATCGAACCAACCCTCTACTCTACTCGGATATACAAATATTTAAACCAAAAGAATAACAAGAAACTACAGCCACATACTCCAATTTATCATTTATCAACATCAGCTACTATAACAAAAAAAAAACAAACAAAGAATTAATGGAACAATTGATACCTTGTCACCATTGTTGCGAATAAGAAAGTCACGATCTGAAGAACCAAGTAGCTTGATCACATCATGGCAATTCTCCCCTGCCATTGACCTATTAAGTCTCTTTGTTTTTTTTTTTTTGGTGGATAGTAATAACAAGGTTTTGTAGTGAAAAAAAATGAAGACTTGGACATGCTTATATAGGCGGAAAAAAAGAAAAAAAACAAACAAAATTTCGAGGAAAACATGGAGAAAATGACAAAAAAGGGTCCTTTATGTCGAGGGTTGGCTCAAGTAGCGTTATGTGT